ACACTTCTTATCGTCTGACTCGCCGACTCTTTGGACCGACGCCCCGCGACCGACGAAGACAGCAACGGCGCGGAAGGGCGGAGAGAGCGGCGTAAGCGGCTTATGTGCAGGGAGGCCGGCTGGCCAACCCGCGCGTGGGCTGCGCTGGTGTCAGAGGTCAGCCGTCCCGAGAGGGCTCCGAATGCCTGTGTAGACTTTATAAAGTCGAGCGCGCCACTCCAAAGGAACACACGGAAACCCTGCCGGTGTGATGGGATCAGATCAGGCAGAGCAAAGCAAGCGAGCCAGCACCACGACGAGGAGGCAGGTCTGCCCACAAGAGGCAGAAAGCAGCATTTTTTTTTTAAAAAAAATTGCCTTGAAAAGGAATAAAATAAACGTTTTTACAGGAAGAGAAAATTATGAAAAGTAGTCGAAAATTACAACGCACACCTCTGTAAACACAAATGGAGGCCCGACCCGGCGCGACGAAGCTGCCTGCAAGAGCCAGCTGCTGGGGCCGAGAGGAAAGAGGGACCCAAGCACACGCGCCCCAGTGGGCTGGACCGGACTATGGACTGCCAGCCGGATAGTGAACTCGTGACCCAAAGTCTGCGACTCGTTGGGCGGCGAGCGGCGCGGGCCGGCGTGGTGCGGCAGGAACGTGCGATTGGGCGCGCCTGCCTGTGCACGCCTCGCCCCGCCCCGCCCTCGGCCCGCCACATCACACCACGCCCTGCCACGCCTTGCATGCCAAGCAGGTGGACCAGGGCACGGTTAATAAGGCCACAGACTTTGCACTCGCCGGCTCGGAGCAGAGAAGGGCAAAAGAAGCAGCAGCGCCGGCGGCGGCAGCGCGCCTGGGAGGTAGGCAATCCCCGGGCTGCGGTACGCTTCCCTGCGTTGCGGGGCTGCCTACTCGCAACCGCACAGGCGCTAGCCCGACCACCGCTACCGACCACTTTATTCTCTTCCTTTACTTAACTTATTCGACTCCATTCCGCTACCGATTTCAAACACTAATGTCTGCTGAGCCTCCGGCAAAGCACGCACACTTTCGCAGTTTTGCTAAAATCGAGAATCAAGAATCTGTTTTGGAGTATTTTTAAATGGCCTTATTCGTGCCATGGGGAGAAAGAGCCGCGTAGATACAAATCAAAATTCGAAGACGTGCTTCATTTTACAGAGGTCCATGACAGTCACCATCGTCGCGGACTTGCGCTTTGCTTGCACTTCAGACAAACGTTCAATGACGTGGACTTTTTTGGTGCTTTAGGTTTGGAAGGTGCTTTATTTGGCAAGTAAATCGAGTCGACCTTTCTACCCCCATCCTTCGCAGCCCCTCCTCCCCGTTGCAAGCCGCTTTCGGAGTCTTGGCCCGCGGTAATATGTTTGCATTGCTGAAAGGATATGCATATCCCGTTTGCCATTAAATTGGGTCACCTGGTCCCCTTTTCCGCTACCCGTTCTCTACTCGGGCTCAGGCTTTTCCTTCTCACTCCTCTCTCTACCTCTCTTTTGCAGCCTCAATTTTTTTTATATATATTTTACCCTTTTTGAAACTTCCACTCGAGCTCTCTGTAGTGGTTAGTGAACATATTGGGATGAAAAGTTCGATGCGATGCAGCACTTTTTAGTGGTAATAATGTTTAGTACCCCTACAGGAAGGCACTTGCATTTTTGTGTAGTGGACTCAATGTTAAATTCACCAAGCTTCTCGGTATACAACAACAGAGTTTCGTCTTAAGAACGGCTTGAATCAGTAACAGTAACAGTATCGCAAACAGTTTCTTGGTCTCCGAACTACTGTCCCCGCCCCTCTGCCACTGCTACCCCCACGCGCTGCACCGCTACAATCCCCAGGAGCTCATCAACAGGGACAACGTGACGCACAACTACAGGTGAGAGCCCGATGTTTACCTCTTTTCTG